CTTTTACTTTGACTGTGTAGTTATAGCCTGATTTTACTTTGACTGTGTAGTTACCCTGATTTTACTTTGACTGTGTAGTTATAGCCTGATTTTACTTTGACTGTGTAGTTATAGCCTGCTTTTACTTTGACTGTGTAGTTACCCTGATTTTACTTTGACTGTGTAGTTACAGCCTGATTTTACTTGGACTGTGTAGTTACCCTGATTTTACTTTGACTGTGTAGTTATAGCCTGATTTTACTTTGACGGTGTTGTTAGCCTGATTTTACTTTGACTGTGTTGTTAGCCTGATTTTACTTTGACTGTGTAGTTACCCTGATTTTATTTTGACTGTAGTTAGCCTGATTTTATTTTGACTGTGTAGTTATAGCCTGATTTTACTTTGACTGTGTGGTTATAAGCCTGATTTTACTTTGACTGTGTAGTTACCCTGATTTTACTTTGACTGTGTAGTTATAGCTTGATCTTACTTGGACTGTGTAGTTCCCCTGATTTTACTTCGACTGTATAGTTATAGCCTGATTCTACTTTGACTGTGTAGTTACCCTGATTTTACTTTGACTGTGTAGTTATAAGCCTGATTTTACTTTGACTGTGTAGTTATAAGCCTGATTTTACTTTGACTGTGTAGTTGCCCTGATTTTACTTTGACTGTGTAGTTATAGCTTGATCTTACTTGGACTGTGTAGTTCCCCTGATTTTACTTCGACTGTATAGTTATAGCCTGATTCTACTTTGACTGTGTAGTTACCCTGATTTTATTTTGACTGTAGGTAGCCTGATTTTATTTTGACTGTGTAGTTATAGCATGATTTTACTTTGACTGTGTGGTTATAAGCCTGATTTTACTTTGACTGTGTAGTTCCCCTGATTTTATTTTGACTGTGTAGTTATAGCCTGATTTTTCTTGGACTGTGTAGTTACCCTGATTTTACTTTGACTGTGTAGTTAAAGCCTGATTTTACTTTGACTGTGTAGTTACCCTGATTTTACTTTGAATGTGTAGTTATAGCCTGATTTTACTTTGACGGTGTTGTTAGCCTGATTTTACTTTGACTGTGTAGTTATAGCCTGATTCTACTTTGACTGTGTAGTTATAGCCTGATTCTACTTTGACTGTGTAGTTATAGCCTGATTCTACTTTGACTGTGTAGTTCCCCTGATTTTACTTTGACTGTGTAGTTACCCTGATTTTACTTTGACTGTGTAGTTATAGCCTGATTTTACTTTGACTGTGTAATTATCCTGATTTTACTTTGACTGTGTAGTTATAGCCTGATTTTACTTTGACTGTGTAGTTATAAGCCTGATTTTACTTTGACTGTGTAGTTACCCTGATTTAACTTGGACTGTGTTGTTGCCTGATTTTACTGAAATTAAACTGATGATGTTATAAATGATATAATTTCAAAAACAGGTTGAGTTTGTAAGTCAGAGGTAAGAATTTGAGTATATATCCAATAGTACAAACTCCCTGGATTTTACAAGGTTTTACAGTTAGACAAATATTGATTTTCTCACTTGTTGTGTTTCCCCATCATTGTGCTCCAGTAAGCAAGGTCTCCCAGAGGTAGGCTAGGTTTGTAGGTCACAAGCTGAAGTACTTTGACACTTCCCCTAATGTCTATTTAGTTACAGTACAATCTTTGTAGAACCTCATGTGTCACTTTTGGTTTCCAAATTAATTCTGAACTAGAGAACAAAATGGGACACTAAAGGTTAATCCAAAGAGTGTGTATTTCCCTGTAGAATGCGAAACTATAGCTTTGGTTGGTGAATTCTGTTTCAAAGACAGCATATTTCTTTCCTCAATCTTTGAAAATAGAAAATCCTTTTTAGCACACCTGCCCAAAGGGCAAGTGAGCTTATGCCATGGTGCATCGTTCGTCCATCCGTCGTCCGTCTGTCTGTCCGGTGTCAACTTTTTACTTTAAACAACTTCTTTTCAGTAACCAAAAGGCCTAGGATGATGATTTTTGGCCAGTAGCATGATGGAATGAGGGGCTACCAAGTTTGGTCAAATGAATTACCTTCATCCATTTTCAAGGTCACCGGCGTCAAATATGTTATAATCTTTGAACAACTTCTTCTGAATAACCAAGAAGCCTAGGATGATGATATTTTGCCAGTAAGATGCTTGGATGAAGGGCTACAAAGTTTGTTCAAATGAAAAACCTTTACTTATAATCAAGGTCACAGGGGTCAAATATGTTTAAAACCTTTAAACAACTTCTTAATAACCAAAAGGCCTAGGATGTTGATATTTTGTCAGTAGCATGTTGGGATGAATGACTACCAAGTTTGTTCAAACAAATGACCTTCACCCATTTTCAAGATCACAGGGGTAAAATATGTTTTAAACCTTTAAACAACTTCTTCTGATTACCCCAGAAACCCTGGCTTTTACTGACAAAAAAGTAATCTGACTACCCCAGAAACCCTGGCTTTAACTGACAAAACCATACTCTGATTACTCTAAAAACCCTCACTCTAAATAAGTAAACATGCACAACTAGGAACCACAGAGTGGAACGAACCTAACTTGTCAACTATGTGAAGAAGGGCTACCAAGTTTGTTCAAATGAATGACCTTGACCAACTTTCATGGTTACACGGATCAAATGTCTTAAAATCTTCAAACAACTTCTTCTCAATAACCAAAAGGCCCAGGGCACTGATATTTGGCTTGTAGCATGCATGGATGAAGGGCTACCAAGTTTGTTCAAATGAATGACCTTGACCAACTTTCATGGTTACACGGATCAAATGTCTTAAAATCTTCAAACAACTTCTTCTGAATAACCAAAAGGCCCAGGGTACTGAAATTGGGCCTGTAGCATGCTGGGATGAAGGGCTACCAAGTTTGTTCAAATTAATGACCTTGACCAACTTTCAAGGTCACTGGGGTTAAATGTCATAAAATCAAGATAACTTTTTAGGTCACCTGAGACAAAGTCTCAAGTGACCTATTGCGAGCGCCTTTTATCCGTCGTGCGTCCGTAATCAATTTACATTTTCGACTTCTTCTCCAAAACCCCTGAACCAGTTTCAATGAAATTCTGCAGGGACCTTCCATGGACAAAGGTCAACAAAAAGAGTTGCCGGTTTAGTCCTACGCCCCCAGGGGCCTGAGGGGCGGGGCCAAAAAGGGTCGAATTGACTAAAATTTCAAAAATCTTCTTTTCAAGACCCAGATATGATAGAATCAAATACTCTTCATAGATGGAAGGGTCTTAAGGTTTATGAGCCTAGGGTCTCACGTTTACCCCCGTGGGAAGGAGGTGGGGGGGGGGGGGCAAAATTTATTATGGTTTATAATGGCAAATGATACTTTGAATATTACATGTTAATAACTTGATTGGAATTATAACGTTGAGTTGACAGTTTGATACTTTGAAAATTTTGAGCCAGCCTTACCCCCAAGGGCTGTAGGATGGGGCTCAAGGGAGTCAGTGTCCTAAAATTTCTTCATTTTCCTTGTTTAGAATCAGAGGTGCTAGTTTCAAATCCTTTTTAGTCTAAAATCTGTATGCTTGATATTGAATAAGGTGGTTTTATTGTTTTTTGTCACTTTGAAAAATATTTCTGTTCATGTTAAAAACGAAATCAACTCTCTGTATAAATATATCAGGTGACCGTTAAGGCCCATGGGCCTCTTGTTTGTCGGTAAAAGCCAGGGTTTCTTGGGTAATCAGGTTACTTTTTTGTCAGTAAAAGCCAGCGTTTCTGGGTTTATCAGGTTACTTTTTTGTCAGTAAAAGCCAGGGTTTCTGGGGTTATCAGATTACATTTTTAGCTCACCTGGCCTGAAGGTGAGCTTTTTACTTTAAACAACTTCTTCTCAGTAACCAAAAGGCCTAGGGTGATGATATGTGGCCAGAAGCATGCTTGCATGAAGGGCTACCAAATTTGTTCAAATAAATGACCTTCATCAATTTTAAAGGTCACAGGGGTCAAATATGTTAAAAATCTTTAAACAACTTTTTCTGAAAAACCAAGAGGCATAGGGTGATAATATTTGGCCAGTAACACACATGCTGGGATGAAGGGCTGCCAGGATTTTTCAACTAAATGACCTTGACTTATATTCAAGGTCACAGGGGTCAAATATGTTAAAAAAAATTAAACAACTTTTTCTGAATAACGGAGAGGCCTAGGGTGATGATAGTTGGCCATGCAGTAACATGCTGGGATGAAGGGCTATAAAGTTTGTTCAAATAAATGACCTTCATCTTTTTTCAAGGTCACAGAGTCAAATATGTTCTCAACCTTTAAACAACTTCTTCTGAATAACCAAGAGGCCTAGGATACTGCCAGTAACATGCTGGGATGAAGGACTACCAAGTTCAAATGAATGACCATGACATATATATTTTAAGGTCACAGGGGTCAAATATGTTTAAAACCATTGAATAACTTCTTAATAAGCAAAAGGCCAAGGGTGATGATATTTGGCCATTAACATGCTGGGATGAAGGACTTCCAAGTGAATGACCTTCGCCCATATTCAAGGTCACAGTGGTCAATATATGTTTAAATCTTTAAATGATTTGTTCTGTATAACCAAAAGTTCCAGGGTAATGATATTTTTCCAGAAGCATGCTGGGTTGGAAGACTATAAACTCTGTTCAACCTAATATTATGATGTCCTTGTTCGACATTCAAGGTCACAGGTGTCATATGTTTAAATCTTTTAATAGGTTCTTTGAATGAAACACTGATATTTTGCCTGTAGCTGTATTTTAGTCCACTTTTAAGATTACAAGTGTGAGATTAATACCAGGTGAGCGATGCAGGTCCATTGGGCCTCTTGTTGTCAGGTTAAGCCAGGGTTTCTGGGGTTATCAGATTACTTTTTTTGTCAGTAAATGCCAGGGTTTCTGGGGTTATCAGATTACTTTTTTTGTCAGTAAAAGCCAGGGTTTCTCTGTAATCTCCTTCTTTTTGTTCATTGATGTCAACGTTTTTGGTATAAACCACTGTTCTGTTTTTCATTTCAGGCTCCTTCTGCAGATGAAAAAGTCAATACACATTTTGTGGCCTTTGTATGCAAAGACGGTAAACTGTATGAAATGAGTAAGTACATTCAGCCTGAATCTGTCTGGTTAACCATTCGTTTCTGTCAACACTCTAAATTTAATTTCTAAGGTCAAATGTGCAAGAAATGGACTCAAATTACAATCATTGCTAAGATTAACTTAAAACAGAACACAAATCATCTATTATTTGATTGAAAAGACGTTTTGTTGATTAAGTCTTGATTGAGGTACAAACCAGGTTGTTAACTGGGTAATCATTTTGCTTTCAACTACAGCAAAATGTCTTTGGGTAACCAAAGTCGTAACCAATAGTAACATAATGACAAAAAGACTGACTACATACAAACAAGAGAATTCTAATTAACTCTACAGTATATATGTGTCCTCCGCAGACCTACTTGCGGTGACCATCAGTCCTTCTGTGTGATAATCCGTTTATTAAGAAAGGATAGTTGTACCCGTATTACTAGTCTGAATACAATTTACAATCTACTACTGTACACAATCTTGTTTTATGTAAATTTATCAAGAGTACAATAGCAACTGTCTTCTGTGTAACTTCAAGTATCTTCACTCAGTTGCTGGTTGCAAATAGTGCATAGTACTGATTAAATTTAGTTTGTATCGCTGTTTTTAATTAAGAATAAGATATATAAATGAAGACTTGGTTCATGAACTAATATGATGATCAAATTCTCTGAATTTAATACTTAATGCAGTGAATATTGATTAATAAATTTTAGTAGAAATGCAGCTGAAACACTTCATATGTATGTATTGACACAGATAATGTTGCCCAGAATATAGCTGTACATATATATTTATTATATGCATGAACATTTCTCGCAATCACATTGGTCGGATCAGATACACGTGACCAGTCCTCAAAAACTCATGTAGACTGGTTATCCGGTGAATATCGATTTCTAAATATAGCCTACATGGAAATTCCCGGAACCTGTCGTAGCGCATGCGCAATTAGACCGGAACGCGATCTGTCAGACGACATTAGAAGATGGCTGCTGGCGAACGTTTCTCCTCCGTTAGGAAAATTACCAAAACTATTCGAGGATAAAGATGCTGTTAACATAAAAAGGCCATTGAACACGCAGTGGATGTCCTCCGTGCTTATCTTAAGAAAAAGAATCTAGACGATACCCTTGAAAGCTACAATGATGAAATGTTGTATTCAAACCTGGCTAAATTTTACACGGAGGCTCGCATACAAAAATCAGAACCTTTAGTTTTGTTTCGTTTTATTTTATTGTTGAAGCATATAATAAAACAGTTATGGGCTTTTGTGCTGGTAAATATGATGTGATATGAACCTGAAAGAGTGATATTTGAAGGTCACAGGGGTGTTCAAAACCACAAATATATTTTAAGTTATATTTAAGCCTATACCTTGATCAAGATTCTAGAGAAACATTTCCATGCTAAATGGTGTGACCGAATTTACAGAAATAGAATGTTTCATGTTTGCTTACCTGTTTTCTGACCCCATTTCTGTTCAGATATTGTCTCTTTATCAGACTTGGTCCTTGAAAAAGACCATTGACCTTGTAACCCTCGAGATAAGGGTCAGCTTAGGGGCCGTTACCAATGTATTCGTACATAGTATACAATATTCCTTTGTATGAAATCCAAGGGATGATGGAACAGAAATGCTATTTTTCCTACAAAGATATTTATAATTCTGGTAATACATGATGTCTAATGGGAGAACTTACTGATCAATGGGAGACTATTCTGGGACTATCATATAACACATCCTTCTACCTCTGTCTTGATTTGGGTAAAATCTTGGCTAGCACAGGTAAATAAAGGGGGTAAAATAAAAAAAACACGAGTAAAATAAAAAAAAATAAAAGTCCAACGATTAAAATTAAACATCTAGGGGTAACATAATAATCCAGGAGTACTTTAATTTGTTATGGGAGTACAATGAAACACGTACTAAGGTTAGTTTGATTCACTTGTATTTCAATCATACTGTACAATGAAACACGTACTAAGGTTAGTTTGATTCACTTGTATTTCAATAATGATGTACAATACAACACGTACTAAGGGTAGTTTGATTCACTTGTATTTAAATCATGATGTACAATAAAGCACGTACTTCGGGTACATTGATTCGCTGATCATGTTGTACAATAAAACACGTACTTGGGGTACATTGATTCGCTGATCATGTTGTACAATAAAACAAACGTTTCGTAAAACAAGGGTAAACCAAAACACCCACTTGATGTTGGTGGCATCGAACAAATAGGATTAATCGTGTGTTAAGTAACAGAAACGTCACTTTTGTGGTATTTTCATGAGTAAGTGCATTTTATGCCGTACTGCGACTTCTTCTGAAGAACTGTAGGACCTAGGGTCATGATATTTGGTCAGTAGGTACCTGGGATGGAGTGCTATAAAGTTTCCTCATTAAAATGACCTTTACCTACTTTCAAGGTCACAGCGGTCAAATATGTTAAAAATTTCAAAAAACAATATCCTAAGAACCATTGAACTAGAGTCATGATACTTGGGTATGTTATGTAGACCAGCAGTGCGAATATTTTTCTCAATTACAGTAATGAGGTCAAAGGTTAACTTTAAATGCTAGTCGTGGGTCAAATGTCAACTTTGGTTAAAAACTTTAACAATCTTCTTCTCAAGTTCCATAAGGCCCAGGGTCATAATATTTGGCCAGTAGGTACCTGGGATGGAGTGCTATAAAGTTTCCTCATTAAAATGATCTTGACCTACTTTCAAGGTCACAGCGGTTAAATATGTTAAAAATTTCAAACAACAATATCCTAAGAACCATTTGAACTAGAGTTATGATACTTGGGTATTTTATGTAAACCAGCAGTGCAAATATTTTTTCAGTTAGAGTTATGAGGTCAAAGGTCAACTTTAAGTGCTAGTTTGGGGTCAAATGTCAACTTTGGTTAAAAGCTTTAACAGTCTTCTTCTCAAGTTCCATAAGGCCCAGGGTCATGATATTTGGCCACAGTAAGTACCTGGGATGTGGTGCTATAAAGTTTCCTCATTAAAATGACCTAGACCTGCTTTGAAGGTCACAGGGGTCAAATATGTTAAAAATTTCAAACAACAATATCCTAAGAACCATTTGAACTAGAGTCATGATACTTGGGTATGTTATGAAGACCAGCAGTTTGAATATTTTTCTCAGTGACAGTTATGAGGTCAAAGGTCAACTATAAATGCTAGTCGGGGGTCAAATGTCAACTTTGGTTAAAAGCTTTAACGATCTCCTTCTCAAGTTCCATTAGGCCTAGGGTCATGATATTTAGCCAGTAGGTACCTGGGATGAAGTTCTATAAAGTTTCCTCATTAAAATTACCTTGACCTACTTTCAAGGTCACAGGGGTCAAATATGTTAAAAACTTCAAACAACAATATCCTAAGAACCATTTGGACTAGTCATGATACTTAGGTTTGTTATGTAGACCAGCTGTGTGAATTGTTTTCTTCATTACAGTAATGAGGTCACAGGTCAACTTTAAGTGCAAATTGGGATTCAAATGTTAACTTTGGTTAAAAGCTTTGAAATTAAAATTTTAAGTTTCAAACAACAATATCTTCAGAACCTTCAGAACCGTTTAAGAGATGTTAAAATGTCTTGTTTTCTAGTTACCAAATGGTCTTAAGTTACCTATATATCTGTTGCATGTAACAAAAGAAACAGGTGAGCGATACAGGCCCTCTGGGCCTCTTGTTACGATTCAGACTACGGTAGCCGACGGCTACTTACGTCACGGGTGAAGGCTCTGACCGAGCTCAGGTAAGATTGACTGGTGTGGGTTGCTACACTGCCGATAAGGTAAGCCTGTCGCGGACGAGAGCGTGGCCGGTCGGCAGACATAAAAGAACCTGACAGTACAAAAGAAATTCATAAACTAAATGATTTTCCGTAAAACTAAACGGTGAGCCGCGAGAAGACAACGCTCCACCAAAACGGAACACTGTTCCTTGAAATGTAAACACTGTTCCTTGAAAAGGAAACATGCAGTTATAAAACAAACACTGTTCCGTGAAAAGTAAACATGCAGTTATAAAACAAACACTGTTCCATGGAAAGTAAACATGCAGTTATAAAACAAACGCTTATTTTCAAAACTAAACACAAGACTTCGAAGAATAAACAGTGGTTTAAAGAATAAACAGTGTACCGTGAAATATCAACGGTAATTCAAAAAATAAACATAAAAAGAGAAAAAATAAACGTTTTTTGAAAAAAAAATGGAAAAAAATGGAAAAAAAGGAACGGTAAGGGTCCACCAGTGTAGGTCAGTATGACCTTACTGTGACAAATGCTTTGACCTTTGACCTTAACTTTTGAACGTTTATGCAGGGCATATCTTCTATACTATTTCACCTGAAGTAGCCAGTTTTGGTGTACAAGGACATCTTGGGATGGCGGAGTACAAGAATTAGGTCACTGTGATGTATGACTTGACCTTTGTTGTTTACTTTTGAAAAAGTTTGACATAAGTGTACTGTTTGTTAAATACAGAAATCATTACCAGAGGGGGACTATGGATTGCCTTGCAATACTTTGCCTTGTTTTAATAATATTATATTGGCTTACTATGCATAGTTTTAACCGCCTTTGATCTAAACATCAGGTAGAAGATATAGTTTGTCAAGATATGGTGTCCTTGAATATTTAAAAGTAGATGTAGGGCCTTGTTAAGGTTATCTTGTTTATTGTTATAGCCTCAGTTATGTGTCGCATGATCATTTTGTCTTGGCGGTCAGAATTTCGTCAGGATATGTCAGGCTTGTAGATAGTAATGGCACGATATTTGTGTATTGTAAGTGATTATTTCGAGCATATTTCCTGAGAATGGCCCAGGTGTGTTGTACTTTGTACTACTTTCAGTAAACCTCAAGACAAGTGCACAAAGGAAGCCTTTCACTTCCTGCTTTAAAATGTAGATCAAAATTACGATGCACATCAAAGGGTTAAATTGGCCACAATTTGTACAATTTTTTTCTTCATACCAATGACGATATACTAGATTCAAATACTGTTTATGGATAGAGAGATCCTAAGATGCTTTATGAGGGAGTAGATTTTACTCTAGTTTATACCTACAGGAAATAAGACTTATTTGTCTGCTTCTTTAATATTTTCTTTAGGAAACAATTTAAACGTTATTTTAAGTTTTTTCATGGGATGGTAATTTGTGGGTATGAAAATTGAGACCCTGACAAACTGGTGAAATAGGTTAAACAAAAACTTTAACCACTTTTTTCTGAAAGCCACCGGCATGTTGTGATTCCATAAAAATCAACAATTAAAACGAATACACTGGCAGATTAGAGAACACCTGGACAGGCTTTGTCTTTTTCCTTTTTTCAAAGATGAGGGTGCTCCTTTTGTTATCATGATGTCCGTCTGTCTGTTTGTCCATTACCACTCGGAGATTATCTCAGGAACCAGGAGGCTAAATTTTCTGTAATTTCACATGGTTATTCATTGTGATACAGTTATGCAATAGGGGTTTTAAAAAATCCTAATTTCAAGGTAAATGTCGCCGATACTAAAAATAGAACAGGTGATATTCTGTCAAAATCACATTGTAATTATGGCCGTGTTTACATAGTGGACACCAGCTTATTTTTCAGATAAAATACCAAACAAACACAAATTTCTTTTAGTGTTTTGCTTTATATAATAATGCAATTACTTTTCAGGTTTTAAAGCTTTAAAATCACAGGTGGCATAAATAAATATGGCTATATCTTCTGTTCTATTAACACAATTTTGTTCAAACTTTTAATTTTGAGGCAGTGTGGCAAATGGCACAGATAGCCTATGTGAATAACGCCATGACCTACTTCCCAAAGTCCAAGATGCATGGTCAATGTAGCTATTGCTTGGTTCTTAAATGGGGTATATGTAGTAAGTCACACATGTACAATAGGGCCCTCGCTGACCTGTCAGTGTTATAGTCTTGTTGCTCAATTCACTTTTTAAAAAAAAAGAATTAAATTGCATTACAGTTTCATTACAACTCGGACGAACTGTGAGACCCGGGGGTCGGTTGTTAAATATCCAACACCATAAGTAAAAAGCATATTCTGCTTTTAATTTAGCATCTTGTAAATCTGTAATATTGCCTGCAGCTGGTTGCCATTTTGAGATGCTTATTATACAAGATCAAATGGTATCATCTTAGTTCAATCGTGTGTAAAATCTAATTTGTATTTTATAGAAACTGTAAATTTTTAAATAATCCAAAACAACTCCACGTTTAGTCTGCACAATGAGTCAGATAATACAATGATTCCCCATAAAACAAAGTGGAAGTGAATTGGTAACATCAAATGATGCTTATGAATATTTTGAACTGATAATAGATATCGGGTTCAATCTATTGAAAGGTTTGTGTCCTGTGTTCATGTCAAACATAGTATGAGGAACAATACTATCAATCTTACAAGAGTATGTGTACATCGTTATTAGCAGTTAGAAATTATCTTTGTTGCATGTGGTTGGGGGAGTTATGTACACCTTTATCAGTTTATGAAAAGTCAACAATTAAACAAAAACAAAAAACATGTTTTTGCTTTTGTTTTCAAAGATGGAAGCAATCCTAGCCCAACATTCCATGGAGATACCACACCTGATACACTGTTACAGGTAAGTTAATTTACCATTATTATACCACACCTGATACACTGTTACAGGTAAGTCAATTCACCATTGTGATACCACACCAGGTACAAAGTTACAGGTAAGTCATTTCACCATTGTGATACCACACCTGATACACTGTTACAGGTAAGTCATTTCACCATTGTTATACCACACCAGATACACTGTTATGGGTAAGTCATTTTACCATTGTGATACCACTCCAGATACACTGTTATGGGTAAGTCATTTTACCATTGTGATACCACACCAGATACACTGTTACAGGTAAGTCATTTTACCATTGTGATACCACACCTGATACACTGTGTTAGAGGTAATAATATATGCAATTGCTTAGCATGAAGATTTGAAAACAAATATGCTGGCAAGATTGGCCCAGAGGACTGGCCATGTCCTTGAGACTTTTTCTGCCATACTACTTTCATAAAAGATCTTTTGCCATGATTGCTTCAATATCCAGATGAGTAATACAGGCCCTCTTTGCATTATTGCTATTACAATTCCAATAAAAGGTTGACCGGTAAGTCACTGAGGTGAATAGTATAACACGACCTTGAGATCCTTCCCATAGACCGACACACAAAACTGGCAACTTTTCCCTGTCATTGTGGCACGTTCAGACTGCAAATTATGAATATTTTAGGTTGTGTTTTACACTGGAAAGTCATATAACATCTAAGAAAAATAAAATACCCTGTACTTTTATTTGTCATTAAATTTTCCCAATCATTGTATTTTCCAATTCACAGAAGTGACCCTGTTCCCTGCTGGGGGTTTTCAGGAAATGAGTGGGGGCACCCTTATAAGAAATGTTGTTTGGAGTACAGTGTGAGTTATGTGGTGTTTGGAGTACAGTGTGGTTCTGATGTTGTTTGGAGTACATTGTGGTTCTTGTGTTGTTTGGAGTACATTGTGGTTCTTGTGTTGTTTGGAGTACAGTGTGGTTCTTATGTTGTTTGGAGTACATTGTGGTTCTTATGTTGTTTGGGGTACAGTGTGAGTTATGTGGTGATTGGAGTACAGTGTGGTTCTGATGTTGTTTGGAGTACATTGTGGTTCTTATGCTGTTTGGAGTACAGTGTGGTTCTGGTGGTGTTTGGAGTACAGTGTGGTTCTGGTGTCGTTTGGAGTACAGTGTGGTTCTGATGTTGTTTGGGTGTACAGTGTGGTTCTGATGTTGTTTGGAGTACAGTGTGGTTCTGGTGTCGTTTGGAGTACAGTGTCGTTCTGGTGATGTTTTGAGTACAGTGTGGTTCTGATGTTGTTTTGAGTACAGTGTGATTCTGGTGTTGTTTGGAGTACAGTGTGGTTCTGGTGATGTTTGGAGTACAGTGTGGGTCTGGTGATGTTTGGAGTACAGTGTGGGTCTGGTGATGTTTTGAGTACAGTGTGGTTCTGATGTTGTTTGGAGTACAGTGTGGTTCTGGTGTCGTTTGGAGTACAGTGTGGTTCTGGTGATGTTTTGAGTACAGTGTGGTTCTGATGTTGTTTTGAGTACAGTGTGATTCTGGTGTTGTTTGGAGTACAGTGTGGTTCTGGTGATGTTTGGAGTACAGTGTGGGTCTGGTGATGTTTGGAGTACAGTGTGGGTCTGGTGATGTTTTGAGTACAGTGTGGTTCTGATGTTGTTTGGAGTACAGTGTGGTTCTGGTGTCGTTTGGAGTACAGTGTGGTTCTGGTGATGTTTTGAGTACAGTGTGGTTCTGATGTTGTTTTGAGTACAGTGTGATTCTGGTGTTGTTTGGAGTACAGTGTGGTTCTGGTGATGTTTGGAGTACAGTGTGGGTCTGGTGATGTTTGGAGTACAGTGTGGGTCTGGTGATGTTTTGAGTACAGTGTGGTTCTGATGTTGTTTGGAGTACAGTGTGGTTCTGGTGTTGTTTGGAGTACAGTGTGGTTCTGGTGTCGTTTGGAGTACAGTGTGGTTCTGGTGATGTTTTGAGTACAGTGTGGTTCTGATGTTGTTTGGAGTACAGTGTGGTTCTGGTGTTGTTTGGAGTACAGTGTGGTTCTGGTGTCGTTTGGAGTACAGTGTGGTTCTGGTGATGTTTTGAGTACAGTGTGGTTCTGATGTTGTTTGGAGTACAGTGTGGTTCTGGTGTTGTTTGGAGTACAGTGTGGTTCTGGTGTCGTTTGGAGTACAGTGTGGTTCTGGTGATGTTTTGAGTACAGTGTGGTTCTGATGTTGTTTGGAGTACAGTGTGGTTCTGGTGTTGTTTGGAGTACAGTGTGGTTCTGGTGTCGTTTGGAGTACAGTGTCGTTCTGGTGATGTTTTGAGTACAGTGTGGTTCTGATGTTGTTTGGAGTACAGTGTGGTTCTGGTGTTGTTTGGAGTACAGTGTGGTTCTGGTGATGTTTGGAGTACAGTGTGGTTCTGGTGTTGTTTGGAGTACAGTGTGGTTCTGGTGTCGTTTGGAGTACAGTGTGGTTCTGGTGATGTTTTGAGTACAGTGTGGTTCTGATGTTGTTTGGAGTACAGTGTGGTTCTGGTGTTGTTTGGAGTACAGTGTGGTTCTGGTGTCGTTTGGAGTACAGTGTGGTTCTGGTGATGTTTTGAGTACAGTGTGGTTCTGATGTTGTTTGGAGTACAGTGTGGTTCTGGTGTTGTTTGGAGTACAGTGTGGTTCTGGTGTCGTTTGGAGTACAGTGTGGTTCTGGTGATGTTTTGAGTACAGTGTGGTTCTGATGTTGTTTGGAGTACAGTGTGGTTCTGGTGTTGTTTGGAGTACAGTGTGGTTCTGGTGTCGTTTGGAGTACAGTGTCGTTCTGGTGATGTTTTGAGTACAGTGTGGTTCTGATGTTGTTTGGAGTACAGTGTGGTTCTGGTGTTGTTTGGAGTACAGTGTGGTTCTGGTGATGTTTGGAGTACAGTGTGGTTCTGGTGTTGTTTGGAGTACAGTGTGGTTCTGGTGTCGTTTGGAGTACAGTGTGGTTCTGGTGATGTTTTGAGTACAGTGTGGTTCTGGTGTTGTTTGGAGTACAGTGTGGTTCTGGTGTCGTTTGGAGTACAGTGTGGTTCTGGTGATGTTTTGAGTACAGTGTGGTTCTGATGTTGTTTGGAGTACAGTGTGGTTCTGGTGTTGTTTGGAGTACAGTGTGGTTCTGGTGTCGTTTGGAGTACAGTGTGGTTCTGGTGATGTTTTGAGTACAGTGTGGTTCTGATGTTGTTTGGAGTACAGTGTGGTTCTGGTGTTGTTTGGAGTACAGTGTGGTTCTGGTGTCGTTTGGAGTACAGTGTGGTTCTGGTGATGTTTTGAGTACAGTGTGGTTCTGATGTTGTTTGGAGTACAGTGTGGTTCTGGTGTTGTTTGGAGTACAGTGTGGTTCTGGTGTCGTTTGGAGTACAGTGTGGTTCTGGTGATGTTTTGAGTACAGTGTGGTTCTGATGTTGTTTTGAGTACAGTGTGATTCTGGTGTTGTTTGGAGTACAGTGTGGTTCTGGTGATGTTTGGAGTACAGTGTGGGTCTGGTGATGTTTGGAGTACAGTGTGGTTCTGGTGTTGTTTGGAGTACAGTGTGGTTCTGGTGTCGTTTGGAGTACAGTGTGGTTCTGGTGATGTTTTGAGTACAGTGTGGTTCTGATGTTGTTTGGAGTACAGTGTGGTTCTGGTGTTGTTTGGAGTACAGTGTGGTTCTGGTGTCGTTTGGAGTACAGTGTGGTTCTGGTGATGTTTTGAGTACAGTGTGGTTCTGATGTTGTTTGGAGTACAGTGTGGTTCTGGTGTTGTTTGGAGTACAGTGTGGTTCTGGTGTCGTTTGGAGTACAGTGTGGTTCTGGTGATGTTTTGAGTACAGTGTGGTTCTGATGTTGTTTGGAGTACAGTGTGGTTCTGGTGTTGTTTGGAGTACAGTGTGGTTCTGGTGTCGTTTGGAGTACAGTGTGGTTCTGGTGATGTTTTGAGTACAGTGTGGTTCTGATGTTGTTTGGAGTACAGTGTGGTTCTGGTGTTGTTTGGAGTACAGTGTGGTTCTGGTGTCGTTTGGAGTACAGTGTCGTTCTGGTGATGTTTTGAGTACAGTGTGGTTCTGATGTTGTTTGGAGTACAGTGTGGTTCTGGTGTTGTTTGGAGTACAGTGTGGTTCTGGTGATGTTTGGAGTACAGTGTGGTTCTGGTGTTGTTTGGAGTACAGTGTGGTTCTGGTGTCGTTTGGAGTACAGTGTGGTTCTGGTGATGTTTTGAGTACAGTGTGGTTCTGATGTTGTTTTGAGTACAGTGTGATTCTGGTGTTGTTTGGAGTACAGTGTGGTTCTGGTGATGTTTGGAGTACAGTGTGGGTCTGGTGATGTTTGGAGTACAGTGTGGGTCTGGTGATGTTTTGAGTACAGTGTGGTTCTGATGTTGTTTGGAGTACAGTGTGGTTCTGGTGTTGTTTGGAGTACAGTGTGGTTCTGGTGATGTTTGGAGTACAGTGTGGTTCTGGTGATGTTTGGAGTACAGTGTGGGTCTGGTGATGTTTGGAGTACAGTGTGGTTCTGGTGTTGTTTGGAGTACAGTGTGGTTCTGGTGTCGTTTGGAGTACAGTGTGGTTCTGGTGATGTTTTGAGTACAGTGTGGTTCTGATGTTGTTTTGAGTACAGTGTGATTCTGGTGTTGTTTGGAGTACAGTGTGGTTCTGGTGTTGTTTGGAGTACAGTGTGGTTCTGGTGATGTTTGGAGTACAGTGTGGTTCTGGTGATGTTTGGAGTACAGTGTGGTTCTGGTGATGTTTGGAGTACAGTGTGGGTCATGTTGTGTTTGGAGTACAGTGTGGTTCTGATGTTGTTTGGAGTACAGTGTGGTTCTGGTGTCGTTTGGAGTACAGTGTGGTTCTGGTGTCGTTTGGAGTACAGTGCGGTTCTGGTGATGTTTAGAGTACAGTGTGGTTCTGGTGATGTTTGGAGTACAGTGTGGTTCTGGTGTCATTTGGAGTACAGTGTGGTTCTGGTGATGTTTTGAGTACAGTGTGATTCTGCTGATGTTTGGAGTACAGTGTGGATCTG